CCCAAACTACTATATATATATATATATATATATAAGCATAATATTTGGTTGGGTTGGCCTTGATTCGGACCTAACCTGACAAGGTCTCGAAGGGACATGGACCTAAACCTGACCTTAGCGGTCGGCTTGACTTATCCTATACCCGATTTGGTTGCCATCCATATTTAAATTCCATCTTTAGATGCTCAAATAGATTTGCAAGCCATCATAAAGATTTTCGGTGCCAATTTTCTCACCAGGGTTTTAGGTGTGGTTTTATCAAATATTGTAAATCTCTGGCTTGCAAAACCGCATCAATAAGTAAATGATGAAGTTTTTACAAAGCCTAGGCTTTATGAAAAACAAATAAAGCCTCATCTCAAATCCTCGAAAAGCACTTTCGGCAATTAATATCTCCATGATGACTCTAAAATTAATTTTCAATACTGACAATAAAATTTGAAACTAAAAAATGTCTTGATCTTACTACATCTTTGAACACTTATTTTTAGGGTAAAATGGATGGTGTAGACAATTTGTTAAAGTATAAATTATTTTTAGAGTTTAGAATCTTAATTTTTTTTTTACAACTGTTGAAGCTGAGATGTTTGATGTTTGAATTGCAATTTTCGATGAGTTATAAGGTGAGACTTTATTTATTTTAATAGGACTAGAGTCCTATCAAACCATTTTCCATAAATAAATAGTTTTATTTACTAAATTATTAAGTTAAGTAAAATAGTGATATGAGGAAAAAAAAAAAAAAAAAAAAGGAAAAAAAACAAAAATAGTTTGGAACCCTATTTAAAACTTGTTAATGGATCAAACAAAATTGTAGGGGATCAAACAAAGAGGACTACATGAATATTATTAGTTAGAGAGAGAGAGAAGAGAGAGAAACTACAAAAATAAAAAAAACAAATAAAAAAGAGTGAGAAAATGTTAAAAAATCCCTTAAAAGAAGGAAATGATTGCACAGAGCGACTCGAGCAAACAATAGGCGTAGCGCGTGCCTGTTCGCACGTGCCTTACAGTCACCACAACATCATTCACTCTCTTTCTCTCTCTAAAAAAATTTAAATGAAAAAGAAATGCAAAGAATCCTGCAACTACTGCTTGGATACTGTGTGTTTGTGTTTTCTTTTTCTCTCTCTACATTTTTACGGCTGTTCTCTCTCTCTCTCTAAAGCCTGAGGTGTGTTTAGTCTGCCAACGCCTTTAACTATTTCTCTCTCCTCTCTCTCTCCTCACCACAATGTAAAGAATGCTGCAACCTCTGGTTGACGTGTTGAACTCTCTCTCTCTAGGAATTTCTTACTGTGGTTTCTCTCTCTTCCCAATGAAGTATTAAACTCCCCCTGAATTCAACCGTTGTCTCTCTCTCTCAGTTATTGAACCCCCCATAAACCTACAATCTCTCTCTAAGCGGTCTACCTTCCCTAGAACAACCTGCTCCCTGCCGGACTGGTTTTACGGGTTCAAATTCCGGCCATTTTCGGGTTCTCTCTCTTCATTCGGTTTCTCTCTCTTCATTCGGTTTCTTTCTAAGCTGTAACTTGTTCCGTTTTTTAGAGAGAGAAAAAATCTTAAAGCTTACGCATTTGTCTGGTTCTTTCCATATCATGGGTTGATCCCATTCTTCCTGTCCTCTTTAGTTAAAGACGCTGTTTTGTTTATATTCTCTTCCCTCTTTCTATTCTTCCTCTCTCTTCACTTTCTATTTCTTCTTCTCTCTCTAGAATACCCACTATTTTTACGGCGAAAGTCGGGTGATTGTTGCAGGTGCAAAGTTTCAGAGAATGGGTTTATTCCATTATCATTGAACTCTTAACTGGTTTTCTGACATTCCCCGATTTATCTCTCTTAAATACTACTTGAAAGCTGCTTCTTAACCACTAAACTCCACCTGAAAATATTCTAAATCTCCTGGACTGGTTTTTCCGGTTAAGGATCCGGCAATCCGAAACGACCCAAGTTTCAGTTGAGTTGCTTTCTCATTCTCTCTCTAAACTCCGTCAACTGGGTTTTCCTGCATTTTTCTCTGTCCTCCCTAAAAACCCATTTCATTGTCTCAAAAACGCCAAAACCCATCTAACAATACGCAGGTTTTGTAGAGAGAAACAGGGGATTTTCTAGAGAGAGAAACCAGGAGACCAAATATTTTCTCGAGAGGGAAACAAGACAAGCAATATGATCAAGGGCAGTGATCTCTACCACGTTTTAACAGCAGTTGTTCCTCTTTATGTGGCTATGATCTTAGCTTATGGCTCTGTAAAATGGTGGAAAATTTTCAGTCCAGACCAGTGTTCAGGCATTAACAGATTCGTGGCCTTATTCGCCGTTCCTCTTCTCTCTTTCCATTTCATCTCAACCAACAATCCTTACGCCATGAATCTGAGGTTCATAGCAGCTGATACTCTTCAAAAGCTCATTGTTCTCTCTGTTCTCTTCTTCTGGTCGAAAACCAGTCGAAGGGGTTGTCTCGAATGGGCTATCACTCTATTTTCTCTCTCTACACTGCCCAACACTCTGGTTATGGGTATTCCCCTTCTCAAAGGAATGTATGGTGATTTCTCTGGCTCTCTAATGGTGCAAATTGTCGTTTTACAGTGCATTATATGGTACACTTTGATGCTTTTTCTCTTCGAATACAGAGGAGCCAGGCTTTTGATCTCAGAGCAATTTCCTGATAATGCTGGTTCCATTATATCAGTTGCAGTGGAATCAGATGTCCTCTCCTTCGATGGGAGAGAGCCATTGCAAACTGAAGCGGAGATTGGAGAAGATGGGAAGCTCCATGTTAGAGTGAGAAAGTCGACTTCTTCTCGCTCGGAGATATTCTCTCGTCGATCGCAAGGATTGAATTCAGGAAACTCCATGACCCCGCGACCTTCGAACCTCACCAACGCAGAGATTTACAGTCTTCAGTCCTCGAGGAACCCGACACCGAGGGGTTCGAGCTTCAATCACAGTGATTTTTTCTCGATGGTTCAAGGAAAAAATGCAGGAGTTAGTCCTAGGCAATCGAATTTTGGGAATTCGGGGGTTGAGGAGGAGAGAGAACGGGCTAATGGGGTGTATCATAATCTTCATAACCAGAAGCAGGGGAAACAGGGGAGGAAAGAGAATGAGGGAAGGGACTTGCATATGTTTGTTTGGAGCTCGAGCGCTTCGCCGGTTTCAGAGGGTGGGATTCATGTGTTTAGAGGAGGGGAGTTTGGGCATGAAAACCATGGTGGTGCTGACCTGAGGTTGGGGATGGGTCCTCATGGTGGTGAAGTTGCTAAAGGTTGGTTCTCTCTCTATCTCTCTCTCTCTCTCTAAGTGAAGTTTTTGTACTTTTAGTAACTCATCACTTTTCACTTTACAAAATCTCTCTCTGGTGTGGGTCTCACTTTTTTTTTCTTTCAATTGTGTGTAACATGGTAACTCTTTATTCAGCATTTCTCTCTCCAGAATTTCTCTCTCTCTGATACTGCTCTATTACTCATGTGTTCTTTGAATAGCTTCTATTTGACATTAATTTGCTTTGTGATATTATGTCTATGTTTGTTACCAGATGTCTTTTTTTCTACATCTTAAATAGTTTCTCTCTCTAGTCTCTTGTAATTTGTTTTCTCTCTCCATGGGTTCTTTCCCTTTCTTGGGTTTATTAAGTTGGTCTATTTGCTATTTTTGGCTCCTTGTTTTTTTGCATGTTTCTCTCTCTGGTTAGTTAAACTGGTTTCTGTTTTTTTGTCTAACTGAACAGAGTCTGGTTCTTTTTCTGGTCATGTTTTGTTTGTGGTTCCTACTACTTGTGATCATGTCTGCTTCCATTTGTTTCTTGTTTATCTACTCTCTCTATATTATATTTCATACATGTGTGATGCTTCCTGTTACAAAAGAGCCCCTGTTTCATTGTCTCTCTGATTGTAGTATATGTTTCTGACTTTATTCTTCATAACAGTCCTGGTCTTCTATTTTGAATCTAGCATGGAATTCTCTCTCTCATTTCAGTAACAATTTCTATACAGTATGACTAATATGGTGTCTCTCCCTCTAATGAAACTAAATTAGCTTTTCTATGTTGTTGCAGAAGCCAATCATGAAAGCTATGACGAGTTTGGTAGAGACGATTTCAGCTTTGGGAACAGGCCATTGTCTCAGGGTGATGAGTCTCTTCCTAGAGATGGCCATGGACCCAGCCTTTCTAAGTTCGGTTCGAGCTCAACAGCTGAGCTCCACCCGAAGGCAAGTGGCGATGGCGGTCCGAAACCTTCGGCTATGCCTCCAACGAGCGTGATGACCAGGCTCATTCTCATCATGGTCTGGCGCAAGCTTATTCGAAATCCCAACACTTATTCAAGTCTCATTGGCCTTACTTGGTCTCTGGTTTGTTTCAGGTTTGAGCTCTCTCTCCCTAAGATTTGGATTCAATGCTCTCTAGCTATAATTCTCATTTCCATGGTTTCCTTTTCTCTCTGATCTTTTGTGGTTTGATGCTCTTGTTTTCCTCTGGAATTTCTTCCAAACTGTTTGACATTCTCTCTTCTGAGGTCTCCTATGTTTGCATTCTCTCTCTCTCATATATTCTCTATATAACATACAGGTGGGGCATACAAATGCCTGTTATTGTTGCACGTTCCATATCGATTCTCTCTGATGCAGGTCTGGGAATGGCCATGTTTAGTCTTGGTATGATCCAGCAACTGAAAAATATTCTATTTTTTTATTTTTTGGTGAAATTCTTGTTCAAATCTGTCGCAATTTCATTTGTATCTGATTAAACTTGAAAGAAAATCATTCTTGGTCTTTAATTTTGTGGAATCTTCAATGAATTCCAGGGCTTTTCATGGCTCTGCAGCCTAGGATCATTGCCTGTGGGAATTCTATTGCAGCTTTTGCGATGGCTGTTAGGTTCCTCACAGGCCCTGCTATCATGGCTGTCGCCTCCATTGCTGTGGGACTGAGAGGTGTTCTCTTGCACGTTGCGATTGTGCAGGTAAACTCAAAATGACATGAGAGAGAGAGAGAGAGAGAGAGAGAGAGAGAGAGAGAGACTGTGCGAGGAGTGTGTGTGTGTGT